ACAATCAGCGGATAACTTATTAAATGACTATTAAGGACATCAATTAATTTTTAGATTCAATTATTATTGTTATTATGATTATAAATTATAATTATAATTATTGTTATTATTATTATTGTTATTATTATTATTATTACTCCGTATTATTATTAATAATATTATTTTATTTATCCATAAAAAAGTACATCGTATATTTTATTTAATGCACAAAACTAAATTGGAGCTAAATTGGAAAAAAGTTAGAAAAGAACATTTTATTAAATGCATGCTTGTTCCTTGTATTGCTATTCGGTGGATTGGTGGAATGTTAGAAAGAAAATGGTGGGTAATTTTTCTCTTTGATGTGAGGGACTGGTGAAAGGTGAGCGTAGTTACGAATGGCAAGGTAATAAAAGTCATACCTAAACGCTACATTTTATAGCTTTTGATGTTTTGGGTGTTTAGAATAAAAAATCCAATGAAAAAGCCATTAAATCAAACAGTCTTATTATTAGCTTATTGATCAAGTCAAAAGACTAATTTTAGCCAAATCAGCCAAAAATTGACCAATAAGCCATTAACCAAACACTCCCATTTAGTGATGGCAACGGGGCGGATCGGGGACGGATACACATAAAACCGAAACCGCCCCGTTGGATAAATGTTTGTCCCAAAACCGCCCCATTACCCGTTCGGGTAATTTTTATTTGAACCGTACCTGCCCCAACGGCGAATCGGTTTATCCACGGGTAACCGTTTCCCCAAATGATACCATAAAACTATTTTTTTGAAAAACAAATAACCAATTTCTAATCCTATTCGTTATTTATATATTCAAAGCACCCTAAAACATACAAAAGTAAATATTTAAGCAATCAAACAGACTGACCTAAATTCATTAGTATGACATGCACCTAATATCTCTTGTAACATAATAAAAAAAATAGTAATCATCCCAGAATCCAAATTCCAAAATCAAGTTTAGGCCTATATTTAGTTTTAGGCTTAAAAAAGTACCCGTAGTATACTTTTTAGCATTATTTATATGATACTCCGTACTCTGTATATATACTATTTAGTATACACAATTTAGCATATATACTTATTATTCTTATATATATAAAGTTATAATTCATTAATAATATTATGGATCGGGTAACGGTGCGGGTACCCGCACTATTAGTGAACGGGGCGGTTTCGGGACGGATAACGGGGCGGATTAGTATAGAACCATAACCGCGCCATTAACCATTTAAAAAATTCGGGTATTCCCCGCCCCGTACCCATTCCCCAGTCAAACCGGTTTTCCCCAGTTTGACCAAATCGGTTCGGTGCGGGTATCCAACGGGTCGGTCGAAATTGCCATCTCTACTCCCATTATCATATGCTCCCTTCTGTTGAGTTAGAGTTAGTGTGGTTAAATGAATTTAGATTATTATAGGTATCCAAATAGTTTAATTATGAGTTCATTTTTTTAAGTGGGACAATAATGATGTTTGTGAGTAATGGATACCCTTATACCTATCTATGGGTAGCAAGTTTTCAGTCTAAAAAATCCAAGAAAAAAAAACAAAGAGGAATTATATAGAAGAAATTTGAGGTGTGAAGAAATGCCGCAGGAGTTTTTTTTTTGAGAAAACCGAAGGATTTTATTAAAAACTTGGAGTTTTTTTACAAAATAATGTTAAATAAAAAAATATTTACGAAATTGATGCCGGGTCAAAAGTATTTCCCAAAATACTGCTAGCTTCCACATGTATAAAATTCTCTATTTTTTTTGGAATAAAGCGGCTTAAACGAGAGCGGGACGGATCATCATCTCTTCATCTTCTTTCGCCCATCCGGGATCAGCCGCGGAACGCTCATCGTCCTGACCATGGTTCCTTCCGATTGACTGTAGGGAGACGCCACCGTCCCACTCCTGCTCCTTTCTCTACGATACTAGCCCCAGCGAAAACACCTGCACCACCTTCTCACTGTTTCCGCTTCCATCTCCTTTGCTCGCCATCATCCTGGGACTCCACTTCTTGCTCGCTACGTCACGAACCACCGGCTAAGGCCAAAGCCGCCGGAAAAACTGCTAGGGATAAAACCTAGATGGCCGTCGTGTTTGGAGAGAGAAGCTCTCGTAAAGTGTAATTGCTTCTGGTTAACAAGTTAACATTCATTCAAAAATTCTCTATTTTTTAAAAAATGTTATAGATTTTTTATTTATGTTCCATTGTTATAAAAATATATCAAAATTCATAATTTTTTTTATCTTTCGTATGACACCAATATTGAATATATAAAACATAAAAATAATTTAACACTTTTAAAAAACTTACTTTTTAAAGTGTTGCTTCGAATAACTTTTTTATTTGTACTCCGATTTTTACAAAAATATTACTAAAATAAAACCTATTTACACAAATATTGGTGTCATTGTAACTATTTTTACCTAATAGTTATTACAATCTAGTGTCATTGTAACTTAAGTTCAAAAATCGAACATAACTTACTGTTATTTAATTACTACTCTAGTCACTAGTCACATTTTTGTAAAGCATCTTCACCTTAGTCATAAATAAGTAATTAATTCATTCAAAAAAAAAAATAAGTAATTAATTCAAAAAAAATCTAAAATCAAAACCTTTTTTATCCTTCATGTGACACTAATATTGGATATGTAAAAAATAGAACATAATTAAGCAGTTCTAAAAAGGTATTTCCCAAAATACTTGTAATTTTTTTTGGTCTAGTCTGGTCTGATCTGGTCTAGTAGATGTCTGGTCTATGTGTATTTTATAATTATCCAAGTCTAGTCTAATCAGGTCTGGTCTAAACTGAAAATAGTCCCAGTAAAAACATTCCTATTGGAATGGGCCCCACGTGCATAAAATCCACAATTTTTAAGAAACACATATCACATTTTTTTATACTTTGTTTGTTAAAAAAATTATATCAAAATTCATAATTTTTTTTATATGACACCAATATGGAATATAAAAAAATAGCACTTGTAAATAAAATAACCTTCTCAAAGTGCTACGGAGTAACTTTTTGATTTGTATCTTGACTGATACAAAAAATATATGTGAATTCATTACTTTTTTTATCTTTAATATTGCACTGATATTGGGGATATAAAAAAGTTATTAATTTTGATATATTTTTTGTAACAATTAGAGTACAAATAAAAAAAAAATCACACTTCAAAAAGCTGAAGATTTACATTGATAATATTTTTTATAATAATCAGAGCATAAATACAATTTTGAAAATAATTTTTATCTAATACCAAGTATTATTATTTTGAGAAAGAACTCAAAAACTTGATCCCTATCCTTCTTAATATAAGAGTATCTCTAATGGTACAATGTACACAATGCACATGTGGCATGAGAGAGTTAGAGACAAAAGATTTAGGCCCAGGGCGGGGGGCAGGTGGGGCGGGTGCCCTAGGCCAAAAAAAATGAAATTTTTTTAGGCCCAGAATTATTTCTTTATAGTATATTTGAGTAGGCTGAGTTTTAACCCAAAATTAATAATTTTGTACAAGTTCAGGAAGCCCAAGAACGCAAAAGGCCCAAAATTGAAAAAAAGGAAGAACTAACGTGCAGTCCAATTAGTTAAATTTATAAATTTAACTAATTGATTAGCTATATTAAGTATTGAGCATAATAATGTCTTAGAAAAGCTTGATTATGACGCTATAGTTGATGACACCGGCCTTAGCAAGTGTATTGTATCGGGGCGTTATTTATCATTAAATAATTTTTTATTCGGTTATTTTGAAAACATTATTCGACTATGTTTAATTTAACGAATTCAAGTATTTTCTTTATTCTAAAGGTATTTAAATATTATTATTTTGCATTTTTATTTAGGTAGAAAAGTGTTTTACAATTTTTTTTAAAATTTGGCCCATTTTTTTATTGTTCGCCCCTAGGCCTTCGAATATCCAGGTCCGCCCCTATATGACATTTCTCTCTCCGTCTTTTCACGGTTTTATGTGTTTTTGGTAAGTTCAACCATTGGTAAGTTCTACATTTAGACATTGTGCTTGACATTGTAAAGAAAAACTATCAAAATGATATAAGATCTTTCAAATAAGGAGAGAGATATTTTATTTGTTGTTATTTGATTGGCTATCTCTCATGTCACGTATGCACCGTTAACGTATTATCACTGAAGATCCTTTCAAAATAAGTCAACAGTTATTTTTATATATTTTTCATGTTTTTCTCCTAATAAAAATATTTATTTTAAAGATACATTAAAAGATTGGATAAATGATTGCCATAATCATTTTAATAAAATAGTGAATATTAAACACTTTTTTGTTGTCTAATTTGACCAGAGGGGTAATAAAGTTTGAACAAAAAATTGACTACAGAAACTTTTGCAATAATAATTTGAATAACAAATAAATTTATGAACGACCATTCAAACATATATTCTGGACTTGAATGTCTAGTTTCTACATGAAATCAGAGTACACTTTTTTCTACCAATACTGATTTTTAAATTCTTGTAGAGGAGAAAGAAAAGAGAAAAGAATAAACCCATGAGTCTGATTTTATATTCTCAAGAAAATGAAAACTTTATCCGGTTTGGCGGGAAAAAGAAAAGAGAATCACATTGAAAGAATAAACCCATGGAGTCTATTTAGAAGGCTTTAATTATTTCCTTTAGGTCTAAAAAGGGACCTCGATCTATCTTAATTTCTCAATTATAATCTTTATCTATGTTATTTTCTGAATGAAAACTGTATCTGGTTTGTCTTCCTTTTCTCAATTACTTCGTATAATCTTTTCTATGTTATTTTCATGTACCCCGGCCCATTCCAAATTAACTTCACTTTGGATTTTTACATAGTTTATAAAATGTGAATACCGCATAAGTAATATGGAGTATTTGTTTAGAGATGAGAAAGTATATATTAAACCCATAATGCTTTTCTTAAGTGACACGCAAAGGTAATTTTGAAACGAATTATAAATACTTCTATATAGAATAATTTCTTTAATACTTCTCAGCTCTTACAAAACGATATTATCTTTTCTCTCCCATTTCTCTCTTCTCATTTTCCCTTTGGACCAAAAAATCGAAGTGCCTATCCTCAAGGAAATGGACAACAGAGATATGGATAACGAGCCAATCCTTCGTAGGAATAAGGTTTTAATACTTGTAGGTGTTTGTTTTCTCTTTCTATTGGTAGGGATTTTTGCTAAGCACAATAACCACAAGTCAACCAAAGTTGAAATTGAGAACAAGATGATTGGGCCTCTCGTCCCAATGAGTAATGTGATGATTTGGAAGAGGACGAGGCGCCGTTTTTCGTTTCATCATCACCATACTCATAACTCTATCAACTATGTAAGCAAAAAACCTGTGCCAAGTATGCCTAACCCCAGTCACAACAGGTATGTGTATAATTGCAAAAGATTTCATTACAAGGTGTGGTAAATATAGTAATTTGAGTGTCTCTGTACGTATATGTATATATATAAGGAGAGAAGGGTCAGTTTGGTCCTCGAAGTTGCAAAAAAAAGGGTCAAATAAGTCCTTATATAGAAAATTCTGTCCGGACGTGCCATTTGATGTGGCTCCCGGTGGAATTTTTTGATTAAATTTTTTGAACATCTTATTAATTAAGTCTAGTTTACTCATACCAAATTTCAGATAAAAATTCAATCGGGAAGACATTCAAATGAATTCTTGAAAATAACTGTGCCGTTAAAAGCGCAGTTATCTTCAAGAATTCATTTGAATGTCTCCCCGATTGAATTTTTAGCTGAAATTTGGTATGAGTAAACTAGACTTAATGAATAAGATGCTCAAAAAAATTCATCAAAAAATTCTACCGGGAGCCACTTCAAATGGCACGTCCGGACAAAATCTTCTATATAAGGACTTATTTGACCCCTTTTTTGCAACTTCGAGTACCAAACTGACTCTTTACTCTATATATAAGTTCCGGATCATCAAATAAAAATCACCTCTAATTTTAAAGTTGTAAATCGCTCACTTTTTTCTTAATGTGATGCTTTTTAAGGGTGAAGTTTTTAACTTTGGTCAAGTCATGCCAAATAAAAAAAATGGTGACATTTTGGTAAATAAATCAAAATTTTCTATCAATGCAAAAAGTGCAACATAGAATCCTAATATGCACCCCATTGGAAAAAAATTTCCAATTTCCGTGGGAAGAATGATTTTTATTTGATCTACATCTTATATATAGATGTGTGTGTATACATACAAATTTCTGTTGAAGTGAGAATTGTATTTAATATGAGAAATGAGATTGAATCTTAGCCATTAGATTTACGATGTTGCACTAAATCAGCTTCATGTTGTACTGTATATGATTAAATTTATCAATGTTGCACCAAAATAGCTTCATGTTGCACCAAAATAGCTTCATGTTGCACTAGGATTTGACAATGTTGCACTACCAATACAGCTTCATATTGCACTAGAAAGATGGAACATGGACTTTCAAGAAGTAATTAAGAAAATATTACCTTGCATGATTGCATATTCCAGTGCAACATAAATTTCTTATTATACCGCAACATAGTCTCATCCAATTGCTGATATTCATTCTCATTTCTCACCTAAAAACTTTTTCTTATTGGAACTTCACCCTACACGTACACAAACATTTATATAGGGGGGGGGGGGGGGTTCAATAAGAAGAAGTCTTTAGTGGGAAATGAAAATAAATATCAGTCATTTTGATTCGACTATCTTGCAGACTTGCTGTGAAAATAATTTTATGTTGCACTTGCAACCTAGCATAGTGACATTTTTGTAAATACTTCTGAAAAATTCGTATTATATTTGTTTGGTTCAACGTGAAGCTGTTTTGGTGCAACATCCTCAAACTTTAGTGCAACGTGAAATAGTTTAAGTGCAACATTGTACAATTTAAATCCTACTGCAAGTCTGCAACAACATTAAGCTATTTTTTGTGCAACATCGTAATTCTAAAGACTGAGATTCATTCTCATTTATTACATTAGATGTATTTTTTATCAAGCACATATTGATTTTACAGTCGTTATGTAATCCAATATTTGCATCTGATTCTGCGTAAAGGCTATTAATGAAGAGTTATGTAATCGTTAGATGCGTCTGATTCTAAGAAAGCAGACAACCCACATAAAAATAGATTAATGAAGAGTAGTAAGTCTGTCATAAGAAATTAAAGATGTTTTAAATTGGTTTGTAATTTAAGGTCTTGTCCAAACTGGTCTGGTCTAATAGGTGTATTTTTATGTGTATTTAACAACTGTCAAAGTCTAGTCTAATCTCACATGGTCTACTCTTGTCTGATATGATTTATGTAAGTTTAGTCTGATCTGAGACTAAAAGTAGTCCAATTAAAAACATCACAAATTATACGTAGTATATAATTATCCAATGCGAAGTTAGGATGTATTTAATTGGACTGAAATTATCTGGTCTGATAAGGTCTAATTTGGTCTAGTTTATTTAAGTATGATCTAATATGAATTGGTCTGGTTTAGTAGATATATGGTCTATGTGTATTTTGCAACTTTCGAAATATGTTGTAGTCTGATCTGATATGATCTGATCTGGTTCATTTAAATGTGATATAGTTTATATCTGAAACAATCCAATTAGGAATTTTTAACGTGTAGATGGTTATGCATATTTAATATATAAGTAACCTTGTATTGGATTTAAAACGATAGATGTTACTATGTGATACACTAGTTTTATTAAGTTTTTCAAATGTATTATGTGTTTATAATATGTCATTCATGACTTACGTGGATGTTTAACAAAAAGGGCACCACCAAATTCCTGAACCTCTCCAAAACCGATCGAATAGTTATATGGGAGAATGTGAATTAAGCTTTGATCAAATGCTAATGAAAATAGAGTGGGATCTGGCCCCGGTCTTTGTGTGGAATTAAACCAGACTTCGTGGATGTTTAACAACTCTATCAAGTGACAAACCAACTTGACTTTGGAAAAGCTTCAATTTTGTGCATATTGAATCAAGGGAGCGGTTGAGAATTAAGATTTGCTTCGCAGGGATCCAGGAATTAAGTTGCAGGCGGCATCATATGTAAATATTTTTTTGTTTGCAAGCTCAGAACACAGTCCGGCTAGCTCAACCACTGTTATTGATAATATTTATTAATTTGATCACCATTGTTATTGATCAATTTAGTCAATGTCAATTTTGCCTTGTCATGTAAAGTGTGATTGGTAACCATAAAAAAAAAAGTAAAGTGTGGTTGGTGAAGTGTATTTTGTATCACTAGCTTCGGCGCGCGCGTTGCGCGACGGTTGGGCCCAACATTCGGTAAAGCGAGAAAATTGTACTTTATTAAAAAAAGGATGCACAAATACATCACAAAGAATTAACTTATGGGAGGCCTCTAACATTTCAAACACCTAAATTTCCCAAACTTTTCCCCTTTTTAGCAATGTACGTGCCCATTGGAAAACAAAGGAAAAAGATGTGCAAAAACAATTAAACTCAAAACAAAAAAGAGTAGTTCAAATACAGAGCTTACCCAATGACAACTCTACCAGAGAGTCTTAAAGTTCAGCAAAAATGAAATGAAAATCGCTCCAACATTGAGGATTTTAGAAAATGAATGAACCCTAGGATGTTGTTCTCATTGTAGACAATTTATTGTGATTATTGTTATTCCAATAAATCTCTCTTTTATATTTCAGAAATGCAAGGAAATCTTACCTATTGGGGTAGTGTTCCTAGGCTTGACCAACTATTGGGGTAATGCCCCTTAGGTTCAAGAGTAATAACACCTAAACCTACCATAAACAAAGAAGAAAAGAAAAACGAGATGAGAGAGGAGGGTTGGGAATAAACAAGAAAGTGTTATCATTATAGTTTTGATTTTCTTTTGCTATGTTGAGGTTAGTATTACACCAATCACTTTTACTAAACCGAATACAAAAAAAATTTATTCATGTCCATATTTATGAATAAATAATAATTTTAGAAATAGTAGTTTTACTATTATTTCATTAATTGAAAATAAGAATCTGCATTAATTGAAATAAGAATGTTCAAAATTGAGGTCAAGCCTTTTACGAATAGTGAAAGTACACCCAATCACCTTCCTTATTTTCATCCCAAACATAGACTACTACATAGATATAAGCCAAAGTTTGAGTTGACCTAGATGTCATTTACTCTAGGTTGGATATGAGGGAAAATGAAAATTCTGCATTTTTCATCTATAGAATTATTTTAAAGCGTAAAACCTAAAAACAAATAGTGGAAATTAAACAAATGAGATTAATCTAACTTGAAAATAAAAGACATCAGAGGAGCTTATCAAACCATAATCAGAATAAAACTGGACATCACAAACATAGGAGAGAAGCATGACCATCAAATTGAAAAGACATAACCTAAAAGCTTTGAGAGAGATCTGTAATTTCACTCACCTGAAACCAAGCAGCCCAAAATGATACTTCTCTTTCGTTATTACACTACAAAAGATTGGAGCTGTATCTTGGAATAATGTACCCTGTTAAATAATATATCAAAAGTAAACTATCAGACACATGAACGCTCACCTCATTTCCCGATTGAGACAAAAAAGGGCTGTTGAGGAATCCACGTAAGATCATGCATTATATGAAAATATACTTCATTTTTTTTTGCAAATCACATGTTTCCTTATTCAACCTGTCATATCAAAATGTGCTTTAAAATAGTATTCTTAATGTTTGAATATGCATATTTAACAATACATCAAAATATTTCAATTTGGTGATTCTAAAGGATGAACAATAACTTTCTGTATTAGACTATAAAATAACATAATGATTACACCACACCTATCAATGACGCAATAAACTATTAGATATATTACACCGGAAATCAATACAAATAACACTCTTTAGCATTCACAAATGACATGTTAATATGTTATCAATGAGCACATACAACATATTCTCAAAACTTGAAGTATCACTTTATTGAAGAAACTGAAAAAACTCTTCAGCATACCTCAAATATGTTCTATTTAATCTCAAATACTTCATGCCTAAGCATTACCCTCACCAGATCCTTTTCAAAGTGCAGACAATGGTGTGTGTATAATCATTCTCTACCAAAAAACTCTTCAGCATACTAAAAATGCAAAGCTCTCAATTGTTTGAGAAGAGTAACAACTTAGTCTAGTAAGATTAAATGAAACTGATAAGTCTGTATTTTGACACGTATTTGATGCGTGTTGAGATCGGCTTTTGATGATTTTCCTAGTTTTAAGGTGTTACAAGTCTCAATTTTAGCTCAAGTTATGTTTACCGGGCGTTGGTTCGAGTTTTGTGTTGTTTGTAGTCAAAATCAGGGAATTTGAACCCGGGTACCGGCACTTGAGGAACAATCGGGATGATTTGAGAAGCATTTGAGAATGATTTGATAGCTTTGGAGGTCACCGGAAGATTCACGATGAAGATTTGAAGGAAAAAGAGCTCTAGGATTGGCTACGGGGTCAAAAGAAGATGAATGAAGCTTGAAACGCCGATCAGGATGACCTTCTGTCAATCGTTCAAGCATATCTCTTTGTAGAAACATACACTGTACACGATTCAAGTTCCATATGAAAGCTAACTTCAAGGGCTACAAATCATATGAAGACACCTTTGCGAGAATCTAAGAGGAAGAAGGTGAAAACAGACGATGAAGTCAGATGATCTCTGCTGCGATTTCAGAAAGACACCTTCCACCGTTTTGATCATATATCTTGATTGGATGATTCAAATCACATTCGGCAAATTGGGTGGATAGAGGACTTCATTATCTACAACTTTCATGAAGGGCGTTTTGTCAAATTCGGAAGTTAAGTAGGCACGATCGTGCCCTCAAAGTCAGACACGATCGTGCTTGAAGAGAAAAGCACCGCGGAGTTACTGCCAGCCAGGCACGATCGTGCCTGCCCAAAATGCGCGTTTTTGCTCCGGAGGCACGATCGAAGGCAAGATCGTGCCTGGCTCCGAAAATCCTAATTCAGCTCAAATTTTACCCGATTTTTCTATTTAAACAGCTTGTAAACCCCCGTTTTCAAGGGGGAGGCTTAGAGAGAGTGCCTAGCACGAATTTTAGAGGGCTTTTCAGCCTTGTTCATCAATCTTTTGGGATTCTTTGTAAGTTCCACCTTTTTAATTAATGACAATTAATTCTATTCTTCCCAATTCTATTGATTCTTCAATTATGAATTGTGAGTAGTTTAATTAGGGATTTGGGATTGATGAAGGGGTTAATCATGATGTATGGCTAGATTCTTTTCGGTTTAATTGCATGAATGCCGTTTAATTTGTGTTTGAATAATTTAATTGATATCTTTTGTAACCTAGAATCGCGACTAGAATTACAATTGCATGTAGAATAAATTAAGAGAGATCTAATTTGTTCTAGGACACATTCACACACACTTAATCGTTCGCTAAGAGATTAGTAGCGATTAAGGGGCCGTAAGCTCCCTCGTTTTGGCAATAATTTAGGATTTTGTCGCATGAGAGATCAGCCTGGACTCCTAAATTATTGTACTCTTTGCCGCGAGAGCGGTAAGAACTTAGTAATGATTAGCTAGGCTCAATTAAATTAAATTCATGTAATTAGGCCTATTCTGCCAGAAATCTGGTTAACCCCGGAATCGATCCCTGTTCCCTTCGTCATTAATTAGAAAGAACCCCCTAGTTTAATCGTTTTATTCGCATTTTTATTTTCCAGCAACCAATCTCGCACGACGCATTTTTATTTATTTCTTTTTAATCGTTGAATTTAGTTAATCTTTGATTCCCTTTTGTCCGTCCCTGTGGAGACGATACTCGTACTTACACCACTATAATACGATCTATTTTAAGTGCGAGAAAACACACGTCAGAAACCGACCACAAAAGAATACAAGTCATGTACGAGTTTAAGGATTTGAAGTGATCTAGAACTTGTTTCATTCAAGTAAGTCTCTCCAATTTATCTTTGAGCTGTTAAAGATGACAAGAATACCTGAAATATGAATATGGAATTTCCAATGCTATATCACAAGACTGCAGAATGGTAAAATTGAAACATCCTGTGAACCTCCACATTTGGATAATAGTTCCTTGAGATGATCCCAACCCTCAGAGTTTCTTCAGTGAGTTTCTCAATTATAGTCGCTTTAGGACTATTATACATGAGACTTATAAGGCTTATATTTTACTATAACTTGGGGCATATATATCTGTACTTTTATTAATGTAGGACTGAGTAATCCCGAGTAATCACTGCGTAGAGATTTAACTACTTACAAGGACACTCCAAATTTTATATTTGTGTGCTCAAGGACCGAATCACAATATTAGGAGATAATACAAAAGTTAAGTGTAATCAAAGGGACCCAATTAAGCAAATTCTAAGAGTTGAGATTTACAAGATATTTGTCTTAGATAAGGATAATTACGCATATTAAAACTTTGTTTTGTGAATTAATAACCTCATGGTGTGTGCTTGCTCACATTTGGTTTATATGCACTCTCATTTATCTGGCACAATAAAATTAAGCTAAAGCAAAAAAGTTATATATGTGCATACGATAATGCGGTGTCATTTCTGATCTCATATTTTGATTTAGTGCTTCCTTGGAAGAGTGGTCCCCTTTGGTTACTTGATAGTCTTGTTTCTGAGAGATATAAGATGAATAGTTCTTCTCTGGTAGATTTATTACAGGACGCTCTGGTGGATTTGTTGGACTTTCATTGTTAAGATAAGAAACCATGAGAGATGAGCCACCAGGAAAGCACAACATTCTGCGAATATTTGGCCTAATAGAAAGCCTTCGAGCTTTGCCTTTTGCATCTACCTGACCAATTACTATGAAGCCCTGCACAGTTTGGCAATATGTGTACAGTACTCTTGGAGCAAAATAATGCTAGGGAGTGAGACTAAGAAAGTAAGAAGTAAGAAAGAGAGCAAATCTGAAAGGAAAGAAAATCTGAGTGATGCAAGATATTTGACGCTCAATAAATCCATTTTAGATATATGGTTGAGCTCGTGTTTTTGTATATATTTCTATTATATAAAGACTAAAATCTAAATAAATAATCAGCATTTCTGTTCCTTCATATTTTCAAGGTAAAAGTGTAAAACCGGTTATTTAATAAGAAGACCTTTCATAGCATTTTTTTCATTTTCCCTTTTCCATGCAGCATCGAGACATGGTCATAATATCACA